TGCTATCGTGGAGCCAATCCTGCTTTCAGCTATACCACCGTAAATCCAGAGAAAGCTTCCCTTGGATGAAGGAATTAGTTCACATTTTATTAGGATAAATGAGACAACTTCTGACAAATCATTCACCAAGCTTCCACTCAGATGATTTATTCTCCTTGATATTTACATAAACACATAATAAATGTGCACCATCAATGCACAAGGGAACTGAGTGCCGTGTGGCAGCCAACTGACTTGCTTTTCTCCTTGCCATACAGAGAGGCAGGGAAGTCACTGGTGGGAACCAAGCTGCAAGGAGACATGCCAGGTCATTGTGCCTCTTCTCCTAATCTGCTGTGTAATTTTAGAAGCAGTTTTTCCCTGCCCCATGCCCCCACCTCCCTTTTTATCACGCCTAGTTAGACTGACAATTATTTGGCATAATAACATTACGAACTCAGTTTTGACTCTGACCCACCAAACTTTAACCTGAGAAGAACCTAAGAAACCATGTCCCGTTTTAAAAGAGAGAGAGGCTTTTTATTCCTGAAAATCTCTCAGCTGTGACACACAGTTTGGAGCACATAATTTTCAGCAATTAACACCACAGATACACCAAGTGTCTAAGCCAGCATAAACCAGCACTGCTGCTGAAGGAAATGGCCCTTCCTTCCCCACACCCGCAGCCCACATTCCTCCTCACTCCCTCTGCTGCTCCCTACCTTGTGCCAGCACAAGTGTTCTTGTGGCCCCGAAATGAACCACATCAGGGAACTCATCCAGGTCAAAACTAACCTGGGGAAAAGGAAATTGTTTCGTTTTAAGCTGGCAGAGTTCCCTGGCCTGGTTCACTTGACAATCATGTGTGTGCTGGTGCCAGCATGGGGAAAGGAGCAGTACTGGGCCAGGAAGGAGAAGGCAGAGAACAGGAATGGTGGCCTGTCCTCTGAAAGGAGTTGTTGCAGAGCTGGCTTATGCCAGCTGAAAGTGTTTGTAGAAAGGCAGTGCATATTTAAAATCTCTCTCTTCACGGAATATTTGTCTTCAGAGGATTAATGCTTCCCAGGATATTCCAGTCTTGGACATCTGTGGAGCATTGCTTTTCCCTCTCTCCCCCCAGCCCAATACACTGGCATGAAATTAAAGCCTTGAGAAACTTGAAAGCGACAGGCCTGGGGATTTTGTGACAAATGCAAAAATGCTCATATTTGTCAAGCCATTAGCAAAGGGGCACAGCTGTTGTGAGAGCCTTGACCCTGTGCCAAGTACTCTGGAGCCTGCTGAAGGCTGAGAGCTTGAATCCAACTCACTCTGGCAACTCCCACCAAGATCCCTTCTGTGGATGTGTGGCAGGTGCCCAGACAAGCACAGTGCACTCCAAGATGTCCAGAGGAAGGCTACTGCACATTACCTGAGCCACAAGCATTTCCTAAAATGCACCTGTTGGCTACAGCACTTCCAAGGACAGTCAGGCTCCAGTGCTGCAGCTGCTTTTGCCCACCATGGAGCCCAAGTCCTGCCAGGCATGAGCCAGCTCCTGCAGGTCAGAGCAGGAGCTCTGAGCTGTGTGAGAGAGCCCGAGGTGATGGAAAGCTTAACATAGGAACAGTGGAGCAGCTCTGCACAGCAACAGCCCAGACCATGCCCAGCCTCAGTGGTGGCCCTGGAACTGGAGGCAGGAGCTGCAATTTAAAATCTGGAAGAAGACAAAATGGAGCAGCAGCGTTCACTCCACAGGGCCGGGAATGAGGGAAGAAAGGGAGGAAGGAGCAATATTGAAGGTGTGGAGTAAGAAAAGAGGAGGCAGGAGTTGGTAAATCCCAGGGTAAAGAGCAGATGACAGCAGGTACTTCTGTAGCAGCACTGTTTCAGGGTACCATGTAGACTGGTAGCTTCTTTCACTAACCCCACTGACCCTAAAAATGGGTAAAGCACAAAATAAACATCTCAGCCCCAGGTCTGATGGTCTTGGTTGAGTCTGCTACAGACAAGAGCATTAGTCAGACTTCCTGGGATTTCATGGAGATGATTGGTGCTCCACTCACAGCACAGAGCTCCAGACAGACACTGTTAATAGCTAAGCCCAAAGCATTTCATTTTGACTAATCATCCAAAGTTCAGGGCTGATCCCAAAGTCCTTGATCAGCAAAGCTGGCTAGAAATGTCATGTGATTTGGACTCCACCAGATTCCCAGAAATCTTTGGGCTGGAAATGCCATGAGGATTAGGCAAAAGTGAAATCTTTCTCTTAGGTTATCTAGATATTATTTGTCCCTGCTCAGCAGAGCAAATGTGTTTGCTTTCCATATTTGCCCATCAGTTTAAACCTTTTTTTGTTACTGCTGCCAATTTTGGGGTACTTTAAAGCCTGACAAATCTTTCCTCTCTTCTGTATCACGTTATGTTTGCTGGAAGAACTGATTAATCCCTTTCTACCCTCATTCTTCAAGAGCAACCTTCACTATGTGTTTAGGGGGAGTGACTCCAAGGCTACAACAACCCAGATAAAACAGTTGAAAATACAGCTGCCTACTAAGAATAATCAATCCTCATTCTGGCTGGTTTCCATGTCACTTTCTGACCTTTGGTCAGACTCTACCACTTATTCCCAAAAGATACAAATCTTTCCTATCTCTAGGGTTTGTACTTCCATTGTATTCTGCTTGGTGGGATGAGCACCAAACATTTTGTGTGCATAGTCTTAGAGACATTTCCACCAGTTCTGTTCTGCAACACAGTGAGAGGAGAGAGGAAGGTTTGTTATGACTTAAGCCAGGGATTTCTCTTCTCTCAGTAGTTGTGCCACTGTGAGACCAGCTGTGTGACAATGACCTGCCCATCAGACTACAGCATCTTTCCCTCTTTAGACATGCTGATAGACCAGGCTCATGTGAGTGTGCTGTGTTTGCTTCCTGCAGAATCATTTGGATCAGTCCATCCATCCATCCATCCATCCATCCATCCATCCATCCACCCACCTGGGAGTGCCAGAGTTCAGGATCACCCATGGGGTGTTTCACTGGCAGAAGGGCTGGGCCAGTAACCCCTGGCAAGGCAGATGATGATCTCCTGGGAACAGCAACATATTCTACCAGCACAGCTGCATTTGTTCATAGCTGTGTAAATTCTGACCAGCTAAATCCAGCTAGTCAAAAAGAGACTTCCAGATGAATCCCAGGCCCCTTGAGCTCGACTTGAGTGAAGTCTCCTCTATGTTACACAGCCCTTCAGCTGCTGGGAAGAGCTCCAGCAGTTAAAAACTACTGAACATCAGGCCTTGTAAAGCTTCTCAGTGCTCCCTTCTCCAAACAGAACTAAATTTTCTCTCAGACCAATCTGAGTAAAAAGTATTAAAATCATTGAAGTGCTTTAAGAGAGCAAACATGATCAGGAAATAGTGAGTAAAATTGATAATTACAGATGGCCACACAGAGATCAAAGACAAAGCAGAACTCTCGATGTTATCAAACTCCCCCTCAGTCTCTCCAGCAGTGAATTTAAGATTTGTGGATAGCTACAGGTAAGCAAGTTTAGAAAATAATGATTGTGTCAATGGAATGCCAAATTTTTCCCCAAATACAGTAACAAATGTTTCAATTGTTGGTTCATACTGCAGAGCCAAGGAAAAGAGACGTTTCATGGACATCCTCCTCTCTTCACATGCATGGCCTCATTTTCACAAAGACACAGATCCTTCCCTGGGACTGGGTGGGAAAATAAGCACTTATTCAAAGATATTTTCCAAATAGAATGATTAAGAAAAAATCAGAACTGAGAAAACACAGAGAAATAAAACTGTACACTCAGGTTTCTCCAACTGTTAGCTCATTTTCTCTCACCTGTTAAAGAAGGAAATAGATTTAAAAATAATCAAATAATTTAGGAAATATCCCAAGTGCAGCATTTAAAAGGTATATTCAGAGGGATTGTTATAAACCTCTTGGGAGACAGGAGAATTAGCTCCCTGGTTTGCCATTCAAGACAGGCAAAAGTCAGGCAGAGTGAAAATCATTGCTGTGATCATTATCAGGAGGGGAAGAGATGAGATGAAACTAGAACCTGTATCTCCTCTGTGATGTGAGTACAGCTCAGTCTTGATGGAGCCACAAGATGATGTCTGTTCTTGTCAAGGGATGCTGAATCAGACCAACACTGAAAACAGAACATGCAGACACTGGAAGGAACATGAAGCACTCCAAATAAAACTCATCTGGAGCACATACAGGGACAGCTGAAATTTCAGAGCCCTTTGTTGGAAAATGTCTACTGGGGGAGCAGGGGGCATTTAGTGGGAACTGGCTTTTTCATGACAATATTCACCCATTATTATGCCGAGGATGATTTCCTTTTATTCAGAAAATAAAAAAAGATCTAAGAAAAATGTTGATGAAACAAAAAACTGCAATTGAAATATTTTCCACTGGAAATAAGGAACTGAGCCATTTGCCTGCTGGCTGTCAGTGTGCTCACTCATCCCACTTGAACTAACTCTCCACATCCCACCTGATGCTTCTTTTCCCTCCTCTGCAGACTGGCCTCCCAGAGCTGCAGAACAACTCAACCCCCTGCCTGAGATCACAGGCAGAACAACCCAGTCTTTCCAGTCTGCCCTGGCTCCCCAGGTATTTTGGCACAAGTTCACTGTCAGAGGCCTTTTCACTTGCAGAGGGTCAGAACTGGAAAAACTTGAGACATTTGATGTCAGAACCAAACATGTCAGCAAAGCTGAGCTGAAAGGAATCTTGCACAATGTCTGTGTAGTCTGTGCCAGGAAGCAGTTAGTCCTAATGTGCCTCCAGTTCATTAGCATCAAATCGACTTACCAGAAAAGGAAAAAAAAAAAAAAAGAAAAAATAAATTAAGCTGGCTGTCCTTATTCCTGATCAATTGGCTTCTCAACACAGAAATCCCCTCTCCCCCCTGTAATGGTGTATCCCCCTTGCACCTCAGTGCCCGTGCCTCGGGCAGAGGGTGTCTCTGTCACATGGGGGATTATTCTGCCTAAGTGCCCTGAGCTATGGAAACCCAGTGCTCTGCTGGGCTGCACAGCTCCTTGAACATTCATCCCAGTGCTCTCTCAAGTGCAGCTGGTGTGTTTCTCAAGAGCCAGTCTGGGCTGATCCCATTCTCTGGAAAAGGACACATATTGTTGCTCAGCAATGGGTGTGCTGGGAAGAAATTCTGGCTGTGGCAAGATTTCAGCAGGCTTTTGCTGTCTGCAGTAAAACTGAATTCAGCTGGCTACAGCCAGGGCTCGTGTGGGTTCCTGGTGCCAGGTCACTCCTGGATCCCAGTGCTGACTGCACCTGGGCACTGACCCATTTTCACAGGACATTCTTCACTTGTCCTGAGCTCTGTCAGTGGGCATTACAGACACATTCAGTGTGTGACCTTTTCTGTCTGAATCAAAAAACCAAACGGAACCTCAAGTGAGACCATCCTGCAGCAAACTGACTGCTCAGCTCTGGGCATGTCCAGATGTGCCAGAACAGTAAGAGTTCTTGCTAGGAGAAAATCAAGAAATAAAAAAATAAAGAATCAAGAAATTCTAAGAATTTCTGTGCTAAGAATCACAGAATCTTTAAAGTTGGAAATTACTTCCAAGATCATTGAGTCCAATCTGTGAGCAATCCCCACTTTGACAACCAGAGCAGAGCAGTGAGTGCCAAGTGCCAAATGTCACATCCAAGTGTTCCTTCAACACTTCAAGGTATGGTGGCCCCACTACTTTTCTGGACAGTCTGTTCCAATGCTTGATAATCTTTCCCATGAAGAAATTCTTCTTGGTGTCCAACCTGAACCTCCCCTGGCACAGCTTGAGGTGATTTTCCCTTGTCCTGTCACTAGTTTTCTAGAAAAAGAGGCCAACCCCCACCCAGGTTCACCCTCCTGTCAGGGAGTTTTAGAGAGAAATAAGGTCCCCTCTGCACCTCCTTCTGTCCAGACTGAGCCCCAGCAGCTCCCTCAGCCTCTCCTCATCAGTTTTATTCTCCAGATCCTTCAACAACTCCACTGTCCTTCTCTGGACATGCTCCAGCACATCAATCTCCTTCCTGAACTGAGGGGACCAGAACTGAGCACAGGACTCGACATGTGCCCAGTACAGAGGGACAGTGCCCTCCCTGGCACTGCTGGCCACACTATTTTTGATACTGGCCAGGTGCCATTGTCCTTCTCTGGGCACACCTGCCTCTTGTTCAGCTGCTGCTCACCAGCACTCCCAGGTCCTTTCCCTGGGACACTTTTGCAGCTCTGCCACAAGCCTGGAGCACTTCAGGAGGTCAAAGTGCAGGACCCAGCATTTGGCCTTATTGAACCTCACACCTTGACCCATCAATCCCGTGCAATCTCTCTGCAGAGCCTTCCTGCCCCCCAGCACACCAACACTCCTCCCCTGCTTGGGGACTCCCAGCAAGGGGCTTATCCAGCAATACATGTAACATTTTTAAAAGAGTTTTGGTTGTTAAAGTTTTCAGTGTCCAATTATTCTTATTGAACACAAACAATATTTTCAAATTTCTCAAAGAGCATTTCAACCACCTTGTTTTGTTTATACATATTTATTGAAGCCCTGTAAATAATTAGTAAATTTTGCAGCTTCAGACAGTGTAGAAACCCATCCCAACATTTTCCTATCCCAACATGTCATTCTGACTCTTTTGTATGCTGGCTGACTTGCACAACACAACTCTAAGCATGTAAAGTTAAGTAGATAAACAATTACAAGAAGTTCAAGTTGGGTTTAACGAAAACTACGCCATGTAGAAATCTAGGGAAATCAAGTTTTTCACAGATTTTTTAAAGCTGTATGGATAGGGAAATTCTGGTTATTGTTTGAGTTCCAGCCTAACAAGAAAAAGGAGAAGGAATAGAGTGTTGTTTGGTTAAACTCTGCACTGCAGCCTGTGTCTGGGTTGCCTGAGCAAAAGAGAGCAACCAAAGAGTCCTTGTACTGCCCAAAGCTGTAAATTCTCTCCAGAACCAGATGGGACATAATTCAGTCCATGGAGTGGAGAGCAGACTCCAATGCTGTTCCTTGCAGGAAAAATGAAACTCTTTCAACTGGCTAGTCACAGCCTCTGGGCACTTATGATTTTGTTGTCTTTATTACTTTGCTGTGAGTGAGCAGAATTTTCCTTCACCAAGTCACTTGCATTTTTTACATGACACACATTGGAGAAGCTGACCAATACACAACCCCTTGGGAGCTCTCTGGGCTGGCTGCAGAGACAGTGGTGGTATGAAGATGGTTTCAGCAGTTCAGTTATTTCTTCCTGACACTGCATATCCATGGCACACATCTGTGCTTGGATTCAAGCAGTTTCTCACTGAGCCTTCATACCAAGATCAGAATTTAAGGAAATGAAACCAAGTATAATAATAATTCTATTCATTAAGGCTAAGGCTTGTAATGGTACTTAGCCATGAAAAGATGCAGCCAGTGGGATTTTCAAATTGCCTAAGTAGATTACACATCTAATTCCCATTGACAACCAATGGGAATTAGGTCCCAAACTCCCTTAGGCACTTTTATAAATCCTATTAGGTGTCTGTCTGCATCTTTGTATGTTTAAATACCTTTGTAAACCTGAGCAAGGTTGTGTTCCCATGCTCCTCATGTTGTTTTCGAGGGTTTTGGAAATAGAACAAAGTCAGATCTTCTCATTTATTTTGTAGAAGTCAAGGTTTGAAATATGAACTGCAAATCAGGTGATTTTTTCGGTACCTTTGGAACCTCTGACATTAGAGGACTCCTGCTGAGATATGTTCAGAGGTTGCTCACTGGTGTTGACTCATTGCTGCTAGAGCAACACTTTTATCATCAGCTCCCAATCCCTTCAGCTCTGCCAGAACAGGTCAGGGAGCACAGAGCAGAGCCAGAACGCTCAAGCCCTGCAGAGTTGAACCTAAATACTCAAAAATGCTTCCTCTTCATTTTATGGTGCCATAAACACAGATAGAGATTACAATTGCAGCACAGTTCACTTGAATTTTGCCGTGGCCACAGCTGGTTTGTGTGCTCCTGGCTGAAGGGCACGTGGAGTATGTGCAGACTGCTAACCAGACTAAGCTGATTCCCTGGAAGCACAATGGTACGATTTTTAAAAGACAACAGCCATGGTTTTTCTAACTCTTTGTGAATGCATCCTTTAGTGAAATGGTTCTGTCACAATGTGGAACCAGGCGGGCCAAAACGAAAGCAAACATTCCCCCTCCTCTGAAAGGCTCCAGTGTGATCACAACAATACCAGCTGAACTCTACTCTAAGCAAGAGCAGTGCTGGTGACTATTTAGAAAATAATTAACTGAACTTTACATGACATTCAGATGTTTCTTGGCTCAAATACCAGTCTATTCCTCTGCGGAATTCTAGGGATTCTGCAAACAATGAGAAATATTTGCTTAATGGTAGACTTGCATACTATGCTCATGTTGTGCTGAGTCACTGTATCAGCAAAGACAAATGCTGAAAAGAATGTTAGATAGAAAAAAACCTGCTGGATAGACGTTGAGTGTGATGAAGATTTGTCATAAATATGAAGCAAATCTGGGGTGTTTTTATGAAAACATATTTCTGGATTTGAAGGCAGGTTTTTTTCAGCTCCCCAAGGAGATTCTTCAAAGAATGTGGATTTTTTGCTTGTTGAGCTAAAACTGCTAATGTCATTGCTAGAAATGTTAAACAGTCTTTGGCTGAAACAAGAGTTAAACCCAGAACCCTGTTCATATCCACTGACAGCATATGAATAAAATTGTGCTAAACACTTTTCTCTGAGGCTGGGATGATGCAAGACTCGATGGCTGATGTTCTTTCAACGCTGGTGCTTGACATAATAATGCCTGATAACTCTGGAGAGTGGGCTCAAACTTATGTCAGGGTGACAGTGTAAACAGATGTGCTACATTTTTCCCTGAAAATCTGAATAAGGAGAAGCTTGTTGCTTGGCAGCCCAGAGAATGCTCCAAGACCAAACTGCCTGATTGGAAAGAGAAAGAGAAAGAGAAAGGCAGACAGATTATGAAATGGTGGAAACAATGGGAGTGAAAAAGAAATAAAGACAAAAAACTGTCTTTGTCACCAGGACATTTTTCCTCTTATTGATGGGTGGAAAGGCAGATGTCTGTGTTCATGTCACATATATGTGGACACACAGTGTTGGTACTGGAATTTCACATATCTGAGGGAAACTGCATTCTGAATTGTCACGGAAAAATGGGATATTCAATTTCTTCTAGAGAACAATATCTTCTAAAAATCACCATGACAGATCCACAAGAACAGACAGACACAGCAGTGAACTAGATGTGTGGTAAAAGAGGCAAAGGTTTCAAATCCGGCCATGGCAACTAAGTAAACTTATGAAACACACATGAAATAAATGTTCTTAAAAGCTTCTGTTGTCAGCCACTGTTGCCTGTTTTCCCCAAACAACAGTTGCAGTGTTTCAGTTTCACAAAGATGTTTTTGTTATGAAACAAACGTGTGCAGGTGCATCCTAAAACAAATGGCTTCGAGGCCAATAGAGGGGCTGGCTTTCATTTGTGAATCAGAAAATAAAAATTACCCAAAATAGACTTTTTGCTAAGAGAGATTTACTCATGATAATAACTGTGGACCTGCTGAAATCAAGAAGATGGCAAATAAAAAGTACACAGATTGTGCAAAGTATAATGTAATCTCAAAAGAAGAGAGATGGCACATAGTAAATATTGGTATGGAAAGATAAACTCTGAGCAGCAGATGCACGTGAGACACTTCCTCACTCAAAATGGAAGACTGTCTTAATGATTGCAGCTTGCAAGCTTCTTACTTAATGGAGCCTTGACTGGGCTAAACCATTTAACACAATCCTTTAGGCAATAAATAGCTTCTACTCACAGTATTATAAAAATATCTCCAAACACAAAAGCTCCCTTCATGTGTACTAAATACAAGCTGCAATTGAAAAAAGCTTTGATGTCAGACAGTCCAGAAGGGTTTGAGAAATGATTTGCAGTGGCTCGTGCAGGATGTGTTTGTGCTGCAGAAGAGCTCCCAGTGGCTCAGCACTCCTCACCAGCCAGTGGAGGAGCTGAGCAGGTTTGCAGGGAAGCACACGTCACTTAGAGCAAGGACTCAGTGGCAAAGAGCTAAATAGTTTTTGAAAGATCTGATTACTGAACGGTTCCCTTTTATTGGCCATGTGCTTTCTCCATGGATGGATTCATTGGATGTGCAACAATAATTGAGTTTCATCCCAGGGGTGAAGTCCATTTGGCGACTTAAGTGCAGTCACTTGTCAGGATGGATTTTTCCACAAATGTACATTTTTCAAGTTTGCATGTCTTTTGTCAATACCTCTGCTCTCCAAGGGACAGCATGTCAACTTCCTACACTCTTACATTTGACTGGTACTGAAAATCCGTCTGCTATGGTTCTCTGAAGTCTGTTTGATGGGCAAGGCTTTTTGACAACTCCTGCCTCTCTAGAGCTCTTACCTCTTTGTTTCTGTGGTAGGTTAGTTGGTTTTTTTTTCCTTTTCCCAATAACAGAACCTTTTATTCAGTCCAGCAGCATTTATGGTCTCTTTTTTCCTGATCCTGTCTTCCAAAACAGCAAGGAGCCCCCAAACTGATGAACTCTAATGAACAAACATCTCAAAGTTCAAGGGCTGCCAATATCTCCTCTCTCAACTCAGCCCTCAGCCTCCCTCCAAAGGTAACCATCTAGTTCATGACACAGTGGGAGACAGTAAATAAAAGTCACACCAATGGGAACCAGAGGAATTGAAAATATTGTAAGTCAAGAAAGAAGCACAAAATGAACCCAGCCACTGCATTCTGGTCTTATGCAACATGTTTGTTTAACTGGGTGGTACTGAGTGCAAGGCAAAATTTTAGATCTGTCTGGCAATTATTCCAGGAGGAGGAGACAGGCAGCTGGAAATGAGCATCACTTTGTTCCCAAAGTGATCCTCAACATCAGAGAAAGAGTAGATGGTGGCTCTCTCTAGCTTTGATGGGATCTAAGAATTGAAGGTCCAGACACAGTAAATTCAGTACTGAATGGAGCTGAATGAATTGCCAAGAAGCTCACAGAAGAACTTTGGAGCTGGAGATGATCAATATGTTCAGTTCAGTCTTTCACCTGATAAATAAAAATAAATAATCCAAAATAATCCTAAGAAACAAGCTGTAGTAAATAACTGTAGATAAGGTTACTTAGTGCTGCAAAAAATGTCCACTTGAATCCCAGTGGAACAGATCTGGTTCTTTTAGACAAGAAATACATGCTGTCAATTTATGATATTTTTTTCCATCTGACATTTCTCCCAACTTATTAACAATAAACCTTATCAATTTCAACTTTAAAACTGAGTTTGGTCTTTCAACTTTCCTTGTATTTTATTAAAACCTCAGTAGCTTTTATGCTGGTGGAGGTGTTTGCAGTTTGCTTTTGTAAAATACTAATAGCCAAGAGCAGCTTTTAAAGTCTTATTTTTGTAAAAAAGTATGAGCCAAAACAACCACATTCCAATCAAGCAATGAAAATAGAGAAGAAGGTGTGAGGAGTGAGGGAAGCATGGAAGTCTAAGTTTCTAAAACACCATTTCTTCCCCCTAACAGAAGTTACTCAGGTGGGAACTCTTTGTGACAAGACTTGCATTTGCACTGTTTTCCTGTTGATGCATAAAAATTATTATGTGAACTAATACAGAGAAAAGAAACTCATTAAACAGCACTTTCTTGATTATTATTTGACTGTAGAAAAATCAGCAGCACTTTTTTCCATTCTTTTCTTTGAAACACGACCTAATTCAAAACTGTGGTGGGTGAAAAAAAAAAAAAGAAAAAAAAGTATTTTAAGGCATTGTCTCCCACTTTGAGATAGAAAGCCAGTTCCTCTGACTAAAACTGGCTGGATAATTCCAGCCTGGAGAGTCCCAGTCTGCCAGTCTGTGAAAATGTCTCCTTCTACTGTGCTTTGATCCAAATCCAGCTTAATGTTCTGAAAAGGGGGGTTTGAAGACCATCCTGTGAAGTGCTACGTGCCAGGTTTAATTTCCAGTCAAAATGAAAATAAGACTAATTTTTGTCTGTTCAAGCACTGCTTTCAGTTCTCCCTGGGTTGGTTTGTTAGCTCACATCCATGAAAACATGTACTATGACCTTTAAGAGAAAAAGCTGCAGTGATTTCTTTGACCATGTTTCTCTGCCTTACCAAAGAGCAGCTGCCCTGGACCATAGCTTGAAGATGACTTGGAATTGCCATTTCCTTCAGCTGTTTTGGGGCTATTTAGATGCACCAAGAAGGAAGACTACAGCTCTCATGTTCACAGCTGATGGAAAGTCATAGTAGGGCTTTATCTGTGAGACATTTATGGCACCAGTTAATCTATATGAGAATAGGCAAAGTGAAATGAGGTCTTCAGAAAGCACTGAAGGAGACCCGTTTTCCTTTTTGTGTCTTGTGGTCGGATTCTCCATTTCTGTGTAAGACAAACTCCCAGAGGAACACTGGTAAGAATGCTCTCCAAGGGGATCCTTACTATCCAGCTGAACTCCTACTCCAGTGTTTCCACTCCTACTACATCCTAACAGAGCTTTCTTATGGTATCTCTCTCCACACAGCTGTGCAATTTCACAAAACACAACTTCAAATCCTTAAGCCGGCCACTCCTGTATCTCATCTGATTGAAATTGGCCCAACAGTAATTGCAAGGGGACTGAAAGACACAAATACAGAGACAGGGAGATCTCAGAAGATTTGTATCCTTAGGAAATCAGGCAAACAAGACCTTTCTGGCTCCGGGATCTGGCACAAAGCTGAGTGATTTGGACTACAATCAAACTGACAATGTAATAAATGGGAACACTTACAGGCTGCAACCATCCCCAAGAATTCTGACCTCACTAGTCTGGCATGTGCTTCTGGTTCAGCCCTGTTCTGCTACCAGTTTTCTAACTCTGGCCACTGTCACAGGCATTTTGGAACTTGAAACCCAGCCTGCTAACCAAGACAAATCTGTCAGCGGCTGACTGTTACAAAAAGCAGACAGTGACCTGTCCTTTTCTTCTCCTCCTGTATACTTTAAATGCCAGAGAGGTGAATTGTTGTCAGTAGACAAAAGAACTTACTGGAACAGCTGCACAACACCAATCAGCAAAAATCCAGGCTCTAGAGTCTTAGAATACACCGGAGCTGTAACAAAAGACTGGGGAATCTGGACATGAGTTTCTGGGAGAAGAATAAAGATCATGTGTGGTTCATATGAGAGAATTCTACTGAGGATCAGTTCTCAAATACAAACTCCTAAATTTTCCATGGAAAGTACCATATCCACTCAAAGGAGGTGTCTAAGGGCATGACAGAGACAGCTGTGGTGACATCAGGACACAATTCACACGGGGTTTCCCCGTATTTTAAACTTCTAACAGTGGTAACACTTTAAAACGTGTATCTCCAAAGCCTCCCCAAGAACAGTGTCAGATCAGATCACATCATCAACCTGAAGGAAAGCTCAGAACATCTAATATTATTCATTAACTGGCAATCCCCAAACCCCACGTTTCCATCCTAATTTGGAGACATGCATACACTGCCAGTTACTAATGTGGGAGAAAATGAGAAACCAAAAAAACCCCAAGTAGTTCTGTAAAAATTGGAACTAATGAAGATTGCTTCCCTGGGGACATTTGTCTCACAGTTGATTGGTTTGATAATTAAATGGTAATATTTTGGCAGCAGGAATTCACCCCTTTCTAGACATCAGGGAATCCACAACAAAAAAAGCAAAGCTGTGAATGCCCCAGGCACAGGAAAAGCCAGAATTTATTGCTTACTGGACAATGGAGAACCCTGAGAACTCTGACCTTAAATGCTGTTCATTAAAGGCTGAGCACATCTTTTCAGGAGCAGTAACAATAAGGTCTCTCCTGTTCAGTCATTTATTTTGAGACAACTTGTAAGAATTCTGCATAAATTTGTAATTCACTTTGAGAGAAAACCATCTCTGCCTCATCTAAGTGAACTGGTTCAACCGTTTCAAAAGACTGTGAGGAGAGAAGAGTGAAAATCCACAGTATGGAACCAACCTTCATTTCTTCAGGCTAGGAAAAGAAAGCAGCACTGGGCTGGATGCAGCCTGATGTTAAAATTCAGCACAGCCTCCCTGCAGGGACTTCTGCCCGTGTTCTGCTGGCAGAAGTAGCTGTCTGAAGGGCAGGGTTGTCCTCCCAGTTCCTGAGATAAATCACCTCCTCTGCCTGGCACTCCTAGTCTTCCACATGCATAACACGGGCATGCTGTAGTTTTGGCTCTAAAGCTGAAAATAGAATCATCTTCACTTCTTAAAAAATTTTGAAGTTTGCTACCTACATTCCTTTAACGTGAGTCAGACAGGTCCTGGCCATGCAAAGGCTGTTAGTAAATGTGTGGATCATCTCAGCAAGGCAGCGTGAGGAGGGATAACACTGGAACATCACTCACACTCTTTTTTCACTCCCCCCACACTTTCCACCATTCCCCACCAATATTCCCTGTTACTGTCTGCCCCTCGAGATTCTCTCCTGAAATGAGTGTGATCTGGGCTCAGGTAGTGGAAGCTTCACAGGCAGTTCTATGTCCATGGAAGGGACTGGAGGATTTTGCCAGAGGCAAAACCATTCTGTGGCAGAGCAGAAGACAGGTTCTGAAAGAGCCCACCTAGGGACCCTCTGGTTGAATTATGATGTTGTGCAGCTGGGATGTGTTACAGAAAGACACATTTGGACTCAGAGAAGCTGCAATTTTTCAGAAAAGCCTGGATGGCAACCAGCTTACAAACGGGAAACATCATTCCAGTGTTGCTTCTGCCCTACTGACTAATTCTTAGAACAAACAAACTTTATGAAATTCAGATTTCAGCTGTGTAAGTGGGCAAAAAGTGGAGCTTTATGAAATCATGGAAAGAAATACTGCTTTAAATGAAAAGTTTTTCTCAGTCTGTGCCATAGCCTCCCTACGCTGCCACAATGTGATCTTCCTTGACATTCCTCTTTTCCTCCCTTGCATTTTAATTGTAAATTAATCACTGACTTGGACATGTCTCTACTGTGCATTAATATGGTTGATATTAACAACAATATTGCTCTCCAGGCATTTGGAACGTGCAAGACTTTTTGTGCACCAAATGGCCCATATTAACTTCTGGAATAGCCAGGTGCAAACTCTATTGCAGTGCTCAAATTAGTTCAATTTCTCTAACTGCTTCTCCTGTAATTGATGGCTCAAATTATAATAAAGTACAGTTCCTCTACATGATATATGTTACAAGTACTACCTGTTATGCTGAATATTGCATTGCTTTGAAACTGCATTACCCTCTCCCTTCACTGATCAGATCTTTTTTTTAAAGGAATTACTTATGAACCAGAAAGTGTCTTCACATCATTCAGAAATTATACATATGCTCATGCACTTTATCAGCAGCTGACAGAATGGGGATGGCAAAATTACTGTCACTCATGTTGCATTCAATGTCACATAAAGACCTGCTTTTTACCATACCTTAAAATTGACAATAAATGCCAGTCATCTCTCCTTGCCCCATTACTGCATCCAGACATAGCAAGCAATGCTTAGAATATACTCACCTTCATCTTTTAAATCCCTGCTTCAGCCTTTTTTTCTTCTGCATGTATTGTTATTCTCCTAAGCCTGCACCTAAAATACTCTTTACCATTCTCTTTTTTTCTGAAGTATCTGATTACAGTGGGTTGTAATTTTTTTTTCACGTGGAAACAACAATTTCTATAAAACAAACAAATCAGCTACATCCAAATGGCTTATTGACCCTTAACTGTTTCAATTCAAATGTTATCCCTGATGGGAAAATAGTGAGGAATGGGTGCATTTGATTTTGGGGACATGTGCACTTTGAGGTGTGGCTGATTCTGGACCCTGGAATCTGGCAGTCCCCCATGAGTTGGCAGCTCTGTCCCAGCACTCTGCAGCTGCTCAAGGAAACCAGACCTAACAAGAACATCAATTTCATTGCACCACAGCAGAATCTGGGGAATTTGCAGTTCATCAGAACTGTATTTAGAAATCTGATCTTGATCCAATATGGACTGAAGCCACACTTAAAAATAACAACATTCCCAGCCAATCAGAAAAGGTGTGTTCCTGCAAGTTCCAATTATTATACCTTCCATTATTTCTTCATTAAACAGAGGTTATAAACATCATCTGCTCCTGAAGACAGATGTCAGTGTACTCACAGAAAAAAACAAAAGGCTGATATTAAACAGCAAGAGTCCTCACCCAGCTCACTTTGCCAGGTGTCAGTTTGAAATTCAGCATCTCCCTCCTCCCAGTCCTCAATGGCCACGTGCATCTCATCTGTGGGGGCAGCAAAACTGGTGCTGAGTTCAGTTACACACCAACCACAGGCACCATTGGTATTGTGCTGCAGGTTAAAATATCATCTCAGGGTTCTGCAGCATTCAAAAATTAAAATTCTGTTAAGAACTCCTATGAAGAGAACTGAGAAAAAATGCCACAAACCATCTCTAGGCTGGTCATAGCCTTCTGCAGAAATCAAGTACATTGCAAGTCTTAGGTAATATACAGTGTAGCAAGAAAGCTACAGATTTCTAAATTTCTAACTGATAAGGAAAGGAGTGCTAGGGAATTGTTATGTACAAATTCTCACACTACTTGAACTGGTAAAGCTATGAAGCAGACAATTTAAATGACACAAAAGGAACCATTTGTCATGCGACAAAACACTGAATTCACTGCCATGAAGTCTAGTGTAGGCTCATCTAAAAAGGCTCAAAAAGCAATCAATTAAATCCAAAAAACAAAAGTGCATCCAGTGCTCCTAAAGGGAAAGTTTTAGCATGAATACTCCAGAACTGAGTCCCTAAGCCACAGAAAACTGAAAATTTGAAAGATGTACCTGAGGACTGATCCATCCACATCCTTTACATTAACGAACCTCTAATTCTCTTAGGAAGAGGATGCTGGGTTTGATGATCTGTTCAGGAAGTTCTTACATTCAAAGAGATTTCATGGACATGTTCAGGAGACAGAAGCCATAAAAGTGTCTGTGTGAAACGATACAGCAGGATGTCAGAAAATGGACAGGAATTCAGCTGTTTAGCTTTCCTGACAAGTTCAGAGAATAACTAACTTTTAAAAGAAGTGACTTATTAGAGCAGCAAGTGCTGTTGAAACTGATCTTTCTTGTGCCTTGTTTTGCTGGCTCTGACAGAATAACTAAAATGAAAATATTTTGCATTTGTCTCTGGATAAAAGTTTGCAGATGTATATTGTCTTTTGGCAAAATATATGTATTTATGACGCAAACAAAAAACATACATCAAGAATGAAACTGGGTTATTTAAAACTCACATTAAATACACTTTGTAAGAAAATAAATGTATGTAATGAAACTGTCTGACAATG